CCTACAGCGCTGGTGATAGAGAGGTGCATAAATCGTGAGCTTCTGGACTACCTCGAACGTCACGGCTTGGTTAGGCAGTACGGTTTCTTGCACCAGCGATCCACAGAGGACATCCTAGCTTATGCAACGCAATCGTGGAATAAACTAATCCAGTCTGATGGTGAGACTTATGTCGTTGCTGTTGATGTCACAAAAGGGTTCGATTAGCTGTGGCACGCTGCCCTCTTATGCAAACTTCCATCCTATGGCCTCCCAGAGAAGCCGACTGATCGATGAACCGTGTCGAACTTCGTACCTCTCAAACTTGCCGATGCGGCCGCTCCTTTGTCCCGAGGGTGTCGAGATTGTGGAACAATCTACAAGAGGAGGCTTTTCCCAGTTCTACTAACCTTAGGAAGTTCAAAAATCGGATTAACAAAACTTATTTGGGATCCTCATAGCAGCTGCGGTGTCCTGGCATTTGTCTTTCTGGAAGCTTTCATTGTTCAGTGGGAAGCTTTGGCTCATCTATGAACCAAAAAAATAGAACTAGTGTCATTTTATGTTGGTTACAGTGGTTCGAGTCTGACTTGATTGTTTGTTCAGTTTCTTGACAAAGTCCTCTAAGGAATTTGATGTTTTATCAAAAATAGGGAAAATATCGCCTAAATATCTAAACCATATCCTGTGAAAATAATGAAAGATCTTTCAGCATTATTTTCGATGATTCATTAATAGTTCAGCCATTTATGGAAAGAGGTAGTTTCCCGTGGCTGTACCTACTTTTTGTTCAAAATATTCTTCATTGTACTGAAAAATATTTTGATCACTAGGGTTATCAATTCCGGTATGAGTTATTGAAGGTGAGGTAAGTACTACATCAGAAGAAACCAGTATCTCATTATATTGTAGCTTAAGGTCTTTGATTTTTTCCTATAAATTCGTATGAATTTTTGACTGGCCGACTTTTCAATAGTAGTTTAAGTTTTTCGAACTGGCCTACCAAAAACTTCGATACACGATGTGTACGAGAACTCATAGCTGACACTATCAGTCTCATTGCTTTCCCTGGTTTAGGTAAATTTTTGGGAGGCAGTACAGCTTGGAGATACGGGTAGATTAGAAAATTGGAGTTTTCTTTTTAATGATGAGGTAACTAGGTTATTTCAACAATTCAACGTTGTTTTTGATTGGTTAACTATTTTTGTCAGCGGATTTTTGGTAGGATCTTTCTTCAGTGGGCTTATCTCTATGGAAGTATAATTTCCCTTTCCTAAAATGACCACTTTGTTACCCTTGTCAGCTTTTAAGTTAAAGCAAACCTCCCACAAGCTTTCAATATTCTTTTTTGGGGGTTCCCTCTGGAGATGTTCTTACTTATGTCGTTTCTGACAGCTTCACGAACAAATCCCTTGGAATACTCTGGGAGATATTGAATCGCCGATTGAACACCGAGTATGTATAATCTCGAGATCTACAGGTACAAAGTTTAAACCCTGACTTAGAGTATTTATGTCTTCTTTGGTAAATGCCGACGGAGACTGATTAATGTTGATTGTTTGTTGAGAAGGCGCTGTTTTTTTTTTCGACGGGTATCTAATTGAAAAGTGCATCTGCACGTCGTTATCACTTGAGGTAAAATATACTTCTGCCCCCTACGAATCTTATGATACACACATACACTTTCTTTCGCCGCGAGATCCCAGAGTTCGAATATATCGTACAAAGCAGAATGCGCTCAAAAGCAACATACATATATCATAAAGAAAATTGGCGGAACTTCAAAGTAAAATGTAAGCCAAATTGCATATCATGAATCACTTTTGTAGTTCAGGGAAATAAAAATATATAGATTTGTCCTTTTGTTAGTTAACTTTCAAGATAACAATGTCCAAAGTCAGCTGTATACTCGCAAAGCGATGAAGTGCTAAAAGTCATGATATTTCAAAAACATTTTACTTCCTACGCCACTGGCGAAAATTTTCGAAAATGAGATGTTATCTGTTTTGGGTGTTAAACGATATTTACATGAAGAAAAACCATGTCACTCATTTCCGTCGGTCTGTCTGCCTATCCGCTAATACTTGACCGATCTATAACTTGAAAGTTCGGCACAGGTATTACATATCTTGAAAAGTGACATTTTGACGGTTTCGTAGTGTTACTTAGCACAAGCTGTTGTACACTTGCTGTTAATTCGTTTTGTAGCTGTACGTGTTGCTTAAACGTCTTCGAACAGCGATCATAGCGAGCAAACGTGGAATGAACTATTTGCACGTTAAAAACTATCTAGTCTGCAAGATGACATTCCGATGTTTTTTTACGTTTTTTAGGTTTTTTACATAATACCCCTTCCGCACGGGTATTACGTATATTGAAAAATTACATTTCGTCGTTTATTTTACATTTCTTAGGTTGTTTAGATTTTTTACATAATATCGCTGCCGGTCGAATTTCGATGAAATGCACAAAGGTACTAGTATGCCAAGGACGAAAAAGCTTTATAGTTTTTGTAAAATAGATCCACTGACGGCGAAGCTAGGGACAAAAAAGTGAAAAAAAAAATGGAAATCACTCATACTTCGTTTTTTGACGTTTTAGAGGATCCATGTAATTTTTGAAAACAATTTAAGGGATACAAAATTGGGGTTTGAGGAAGGTGCATGTCAATTTTTTTAGCGAGAGGATGCGGTCAAAAGAAACACCAGCGCGTGACATTCAAATTTCTTTTTTGTTTCGATGTCTGTATCAAAATTCAGGTTTGAATTCAATATAACATGATAATTTTCATACGAAAATACGGCAAATAGTAGCGCAAAAGCTTTGTAGTTTTTAAAAATCGGTCCAGTGGCGACAGAGAAAATGGCCAAAAACGAAAAAGAATAAAAAATCGCTCAAACTTCGTTTTTTGCCGTGGCCGCGCCTGCATAGTGTTTCTTATGCTTTGACCGCGTGCCACGTCTGACCGAGTTAAGTATCGGGGAGAGGCTGTTACTTTCGAGTAATTTGTTCGAGATCTATATTCGAAACGAAGCTGCTTTTTCCAAAGTAGATATAACCACCTCTTGAATGTTCGTCCTATATATCTACTAACGTATTATTATATATTTACAGGATTTATCTATTAACTTATAATTCGCCACATAACTTATAATTACATAAAACTGTCAACAAAAAATCATAAGCTAATTATAAAAGAATTCTCTACCACGACAACGGCTACAATCCGATGCTGACTAATGTAAACATCGTAGTTCAAAAAATACTAAACGTCGTTCGGTATTATTTTTAGTAAATCCTGTAAAACATATATAAATTATATCAATATATTTTTAAAACGATATACTCCAGTCACCGAGTAGGTCCGATCATATTCGTCGTCAAAATTCGCCTTACAAACGAACACATTCGAATAAAATTATGGATATGATGATTTCAATAACTGTAATGATAAGATGTGAATAACAAGGAAAAATGGACTTAAGTAAGTTACTTCCATCACTGGCAAAGGAGGCTTCAAAATAATTCAGAAGTTTGAAACCGACCAGAAATAATTTTGTGTTTTTTGAAAACTCGCTGCCTATCTCTTGAGTAGACGTAAATATGGTGTCATCCAGTTTAAGAACAACTCATCTTTTTCGCCTTACTCGGTTGCTGATATAATACTTTCTGTTCTAGAACAGAATACAAACAAAATAAATAATCATATAAAACAGTGATATCAGCCTACATACATAAGTAGTAGAAACTTTGTTTCGTATTTCTCTTGTTGGTTTGTGACAAAAACTTCGAAAAATGTCCCTTCCTCTTATATCACACCGTGCCTAAAGACTGGGATCTCAAATAATGGACTAGCATACGGCGAGTTCGACAAAATCAAAGCTGAAAACGGTCTTCTGAAAAAGCTAGAAGAATCATGAACAGGAAAAGGACGAAGAAAAGAGAAACTCTGAACTTCACCAGGTTAACGAGGCTCTAAAGCCAAATATAAGAATCGTTAGAGGAATGTATGACAAACTCAAACAACTGCAGAAGAAATCAAAACTAAGGGAACGCGAACGTCGTATAAGCATGAAGGCTGTTAATCGTGCCTAAACTTAAGCTGCTGCAGTTCAAGATTGGTTTACTGAAATTCGTTAGATTTGATTTTCTCGCTTGGTTTAATATCATTCTTTCAAAAATATTTAGTGATGTGCATATATACTGTGGCATATATTTTCTGAAAAAATATGGTCTGTTTTTATAAAATAATGAATAATACAGAGACGCACCTGTATTACGTAATTTAAAAAGTAACATATCGATCGAATGACATTTTGTAGGTTTTTCAAAAAAAATCGCACCTTGGAACGGGCTGTCATTTTCATCATGTTCACTTGTACTAGCTGCACGTGTTGCCTAAAACACATAACACTTGAGCTATGTATATATAGTGGGCTTGAAGTACCACAGCAAGTGGCTATAACCGGCCGCGTGGTTGTGGTTACATGTCTCCTTGAAAATTCGAGGGCTTTCAGCCATTTTATACTACAGTGTGTAGGTTGGCTCTTGTTGTGAACTTCGTGTGTAGTTTTTTCTCTCTCCATCTTCGTTTCCTCAGGTTACACCCGTATCCGGATGTGTGGGCATGTGTATGTACTTTTGTGGTTTCATATGTGCATTCATTTCGGGCCTGATGAAGCCAACCAGCTTAAATACGTATCGCTCGGGTTACCTATCCTATTTTGTGCTCGAATCCACTTTCCTTCTTGTTGCGGATTTTGCGCATTATTTTCCTACATTTTGTTATATACCTTTCTCCGCATGATCATTTTCTCTTTATGATGGCTCTGATGTGATGTTACATCTGCTTCAGAGATGGCTCAAGCAGAAGCTATAGCTTCTATCAGTTAAGTTGTAAATTCTATACTATAGGTCGTATACAGTGTGCGTGGCGTGGACTAGCGACTAGCTATAGTAAGCAAGTTGACATTATACCGATGTTAATAAAATAAATAAAACTTAAAATGCTCACAGATGTCGAATGACTCCACTGACGTTCCTCCTACCTCGGTTTATGTACTTTAAATGAGGCCACAAAGGTCAGCAAAGCTTTTTCTTCAGCATCTGTGGTTTTATTTAGCGGACGGGGAAACATGGAAATGTACCGGATAAGATGATAAAAAAGTAGCGTCAAGTAAGTTGAGTTTGTACTTCCCACACAACACTGTCATCATTTCGTAAAGAATTATGTTTGGCACAAATTAGCCTTTCTGAGAAAAAAAGTTAGCTACAAACATGTTTAACAAGAAACTAAATGACCTTCCTCCCCCCCCCCCCCTGAGGTATGAGAAAAATTCCTCCAGGCGCGCATGAAATTTGCGATGGCCAATCCCGCGAGAATGTCGATATTGGCCTTCACCATGAACAGCGCACACAGCCCACAGCAGTACGGAAGCGATTGTAGACTGTGACGTACGCCGCTCGTCCACGGTGGACCACCCTTCCAAAAAAATTTCCAAAAACCGTCAGGAGCTTGTGGAACGTCAAGTTTGAGCAATTTTGATTTTCATTGTTTTTGTCCCACGTTCCGCCGCCACTGAACCGATTTTTCTAAAACTACAAAGCTTTTTTGTCCTTCACATCTCAGTATAGAACATTTTCGAGATTATATTTCCTCGCCAGTAGGCGTGAAAAGTACTATAAAAATACAACTTCATTCTGTAGCACTTTTCTGATATACTATGTATATAAAAAAGATATTGCACTTAAAACTTTATATTAGACACTACAACATTTTTTTAAATAACAATACAATAATGTTAGCAGTGGTCAAGTTATTGCATAACATAAGCAAATGGCCCCGGTGCGTCGACGTTTGCGTAAGCTCACAGAAATATGTTTTTAGTCGTGAACATTTTCTCGTCAATGTATGAAAATCTTTCACATTTGTTTATCATTGTCATTATGACAACTTGCCTGGCGTAATAGTGCGAGTTTACTGTTTGTTGATTGTCAATACAGAAAATTAAACAATGCGCAGCTACTATGTCGACAGTCTGCATTACATTTATTTAAGTATTTTGAAAAGTGAATGAAAACAACGAACGGTCTGCTATCATCCAACTAATGTTTATATGCAAGAGCGAGTAGCATCTGCACTAACGGGCGGCTGCAAAGATACGACTGACAACGCTGATTGGTCAAATAAATAATTTGAAGTTAGGAATCATGTGTTTCTTTTTTGACTAAACTAAATTGTGTAATACTTTGCGTAGGACCCTAAAAAATTTAAATAGATATAGGATAACCTAAAGGTTTTGAGAATAACTTCTGTTTTCATAAACATACAAAATGCTACTGCGCAGAGTACCCTCGAAAACTGTGACTACTGAATAGATATCTACAGGTACTTTTTGTCATCAATAAGAATAAGTCAATTTAAAGACAGCGGGCGCTAAAGTTATTTTATCGCCTTAGGGCATAAAGAGTCCGTGGACTTAGAAGTAGGACTTTACCGTCCGGAAATGCTACAGCATAGTATTTTGGTATGATATGTGACTATAATTTCGGATTGGATTTCTTCCACGATTTCACGCAAAATCAACTGGAGTAAGACGCTCCAATCTGATTCGCAGATATTTTCATTCACTGCTTTCGAATAAAATGTGTACGTTTTTCAATTTCAGTCATGTCCTTTCCAACCAAAGAGGAGCGCTCGAAGTGTTGGGGGGCCAGAGACAAATACTGGGAATGTCTGGACCATAATAAAGTGAATGAAAAAGATAGTGCATGTACAGAATTTAGGAAATTGTATGAACAATCCTGTTCTGCGCAGTGGGTGACGCATTTCGACAGGAGACGGAACTACCTCAAGTTTAAAGAGAAGATTGAAAAAGATGGGTATGAGCCGCTTGATGAGAAAAATTAAGCTTTTATAGTGTGTAGTGTAATTTTATAGTGAATAAACTTTTTGAAGCAAGCCGTGATTTTCTTTGGCAAAGAGTATCAGCGCGGCAAATCTATTGAAGCTTGGTTTTGAGATAGAGAGTGATTTAATAATGCATTTGAATACGTCTATCAAATTCAACGAATTCGATTAGATCAGGAGCCAAGCCTATATGCTTACATCGCATTGTTTGTCGCCAAAATTGAGCATTTCAAGAACATATTGTTGACTCATTTTATTACCAAAGTGACAGCGTTATGTCAATATAATAATAATACTTACCGGCGGAATCATACCCTTATTAAGCTTATGTCACTTTTTGAAAATTATGTATCATGTCTTGAAATCGTCTAACACCACAAAATTCGCTCTTTTCGAAAATAACACAAAAAAAGACGAATTTAATCCCAGAACTGCCAAAAAATTGACCTATGTCAAGTGCACTTGTAGTATGCACTACAGACTATGAGAATTAGGAGACAAATCTTTGATTTTCTCCTTCTACAGGGTGCGGCAGAGAGGATGGACGGTTTTAAAAAAATCATAAAGTAGTTAATTTTTACTCGAAAACAAATTTATTGATGGAATCAGGTTCACAAGGAAATAGCATTTGAGACAGTCAAGTGTGGAAAATCACATCAGGCATGTGGTGGCCGAAATCGTTGATGCATGATGCAGTGCTGGAGGCGTTCTTGGAAGTTCGCGTAGACTCTCTCCAACATCGCTCTCTCAACTTGGGCGACTTCCACGCGAATTTCGCCCTTCAATTCGTCGAGAGTTCGGGGCTTGTTCGCGTATACTCTAGCCTTGAGGCGTCCCCATAAGAAAAAATCGCATGCAGGGGGTAAAAGCGGAGATCCATATGCAACATTCGCCTTACCGAACGATCACTAAGGCGAAGTGCAGCAGCATGTTTCCGGGCAGATCGAGTCGGACTGCGAAGAAAGACCTGTCGAACGCGTTCAACATTTTCAGGAGTTCGAACTGTTCGCGGCGCTCCTCTTGGTCTTCTGTTGATCAGTTCACCACGCCTGCGAAGTGATTCAACCCAACGAGGGATGGTGTTTCGAGAGGGAACAGTCTATTCCGATGAATGTTGAAGTGGCGACGAAACTCACGCTGTACGACGATGACTGACTCATTATTTCGGACGAAATAATCATAGGCGAAAACGCGGTGCTCCATCGTCCAAGGCTCCATAACGACAACTGGTAAAATAATACTAGGATCTCACGAGTCAAACGGCATCCTCCCCACCTCTCTCGTAGACGGAGGCGGAGGGTACTACCCATCCCAAAAACGTCCGTCCACTCTGCCGCACCCTGTACCTACTCTGAATTCGTTGGTCAGATCGAATACGGCTATCCAATCATTCCTAGAAAATGTTTGACTTTACATACACTATACTTCTTTGTTGGTAATATGTGGACCCTAAACCTTATACTCAACAATTTTAAAACAACAAATCTTGTAAGAACCTGTCAGGTCTAGAAATTCTTACAATTAAAGTGAGAGCAATTGAGGTCTTGTTTGACAGGGCTTGTTAAGATCTAAATAATGCTTGGCTGTTGAGGTTTGTACGCTACACACGAGTAACTCTCATTTTGGAAAATCCTTGGACGTGAGTAGAAATGTTTCATCACATTTGAATTAGCTTGACTTGAGATGTTACAGAACCTTCAAACGTTAGGCACATGTTGCTTATCATCCGCCAGGCACATTAAACGTACTTATGAAACATTTTGTCCGTACAATAGCGACAAAAATGGAAGCGACATGCAACATGTTGCTCGTCGTAATTTTGTCCCCGGTGCTTGTGCCGCAACATGTAGTACATTTCCATTTCTGTGCCGGCCACAAAGAAGTCACGAATGGAGAATCAACTGGATGCTTTTTATATATATTTTTTTTAATTTGATACATGTAAAGTACTGTAATATATAGGGTTTTCAAAGGTCAGGATACGGCAAATAGACTCAAAAACTATGAGTAAAAATTCTATCTAGATATGAGAATAGGATTTTTCCCCAACTATCTAACAGTGACCTTGAGTTTGACCTGGACATTCAAGGTCAAGTCCATTTTTTAAATGAGACCCAATGTGTTTGATCTCGGAAATGGATAGAGCGCAACATTTTACATCCAGAAATTTGAACTTTGATAGTCATGATCGAATATCCAATCGATAAACTAACCTTGGAAACCGACATCTATATCATTTAAAATATGCGTAGACAGTCATAGCTTATGCTTGGGTAAATTTTCTTTCAGAGTCGCGCTTTTCAAAATTAATTTATTGATTAGATGTTAGATCTTGACCATGTCATTCAAAGTGCAAATTTTTTGCAGGCCAGTGACTCAATCGAACGTACAATTTTCGGTTCAATCCATTTCCGATTTAAAATATAGGGTGCCATTGAAAAAATTAACTTTGAAATGACATGGTCAATGTCTTCAAGGTCACCGTCAGATAGCCAGGGAAAACCTAGGTCTATGGTTGGGCGGAATTTGCTTTAGATATTATTTTATTGATTGATTAGAGCCTGACCATGACCTTGAAAGGTATTTTTTTGTAAGTCAACGACTTATCTGATATAATAATAAAGTTCTCCGCTCTGTCCATTTTATGTCAAAAATATAAGTCCTCATTTGAAAAATAGGCTTCACCTTAAAATGACCTTGAAGGTCGAACTCAAGGTAACCGCCAGATAGCCGTGGAAACATCCTATGCCTGTGTAGAATTTCTTTTTGAACACCCTTTATATTCAACCCGAATACATATTTCCTGCAGTAAATAATATAAATAAATATAAATGGGCACATCGAAACAACAAATAATCATGGAAACTCGTATATTTTGTTCAAAAACGTACTGTATCTGATTTTTCAATTGGTACGAATACCAGATTTGTTAAGCAAAAAATACTGTTTATTCTATAATGATATACAAAACCAAGCCGTAAAAGAAAGAAAAACATTGTTTACATATATATAAACGTTATGGTTTGGGAACAACACAAGGAGTGAGTACATTTCCCATATGGACAAAATGATCAGTAAGAAGAAAAATCAGTTTGCAGTTTTTGCGTGTTTACGGTGTAATAACATATCGGTACTTCTTCCAGCAAATCTTGGGTATCAGAAAATATGTTTTGTACATTTTGGACATACTGAATGGGACAATTCTCAACTTTCAGTAGGTCAGCCAAGAAAAAAGAAGGAGGTATTTCGAAAAAAATGTTCTAATCCAGTTCATCGATTAAAAATCTGACTGTAACAGTCAGGACAATGACAGATAATAACCACAATTGAAAGGGGCTTATGAGGAAATATTTTTTTATACTCCAGACACCTCGAAGGCCTAAGGCTTAAACACCCATGGGGTACCGTGGGGCTATAGGGGGATAGAGGGGAAAGGGGGAACGCCACACAGACACTGGCGAGGGAACACATGTCCTTGCAACATGCACACATTCTGGCCCCGCCTACGAGACCCGCCGGATGGTACCCTTGTATGACCATATTCCAGATCTTTGTTCAAATTAGTTATGTCAAACTATCGCATATTTTCATTTGTTTTTACAGAATTCCAAGTAGACCGGAAAATGAAACATCTCTCAAGAAGCCTAGAAGGATCTACCAAAAGATACAGCGTCTATGACATTCCCACGGCAACGGTGTGCTTCTAATGTTCAAATAATCTGTGATAAATTTGTTATAGATTTGTTGCAACAAATAAAATTGTTTTCTAGTTATTTTTAAGGTTAATGTAAGACATACAACATGTCCTGTGGTTTTTATGCTGATAATCCCCCATGTTTCTCTGACCGCTAAATCAAACCAGATGTCTGGAATACTGTTTACTGTTGAGGCTGAAACATCGTCGATAGTAAACAGTATTTCAAACATAATTCAGACGCGTCCAGACAAACATGGAGAATCATTATTGCAAAGGGTTTTGATTTAGGACATCTTGTACAAATAGCAGACATAGTATTACAGTCTTTTTGGTAAATCTTTACATAATTTGGAGTAAGAATCGGCCGATATGTACATATGTATGTACAAAAAAACGTGGTGTTGTTCACATAACAGAGGAAATAAGAAGTACCTAGATCAACTCGGATACCATTTTGATATGAAACAATAGCAGAGACCTACGAGTATGCTGGTTGATGACTAATTTGAATGATAGTGGAAGACGTTAACTAACTGTTCAGAGAAGCGCAAATACAAAAACTTCCTAGCTGAGGAAAAGGAACAATTCTGAAAACTTCGAACGAAGTGAAAAACAAAAACATAGATGGATTAAATCTCAACCTAATTAGCATTTTTATAGAGGATATTCTTGAACTACTGGTTTATTTATTGGCTTAATTTGTACCTCCTACTTTCCTGAAAGACTCAAATGTGCACTTGCTGTGCCCATACTTGAAAAAGGTGAGATTGATAATAACAGACTAATTCCTATTTTTAGCATAACCTCCAAAATTTTCGACAGGATCGTTCTTGAGAATAAGAAGATTCTTTCTCCTTCCCAAGATGGTTTTGGATATAAAAAATATGTGGAAACTGCTTGTTGCTATCTTCTTGAATAAATCTATGAGAATCTTGACAATGGTCGATGTGTAATATCATTGCTGTTTGATTTATCAGAGGCATTTTACTCCATTAGATGAACAACTCTTGAGATTATTCTTGCGAAGCAAACGCAATAATTTATAAACATAAATATTTATTCACAAATAATATAATTATTACATAAAAAATTAAATAAGTAAACATCATAATAGGGTAAAAAACCAATACTTGTATTATACAGAGAATAAAAAGCATAGTTTCAAAACTAAAGCTTTCTTACTTTGATTAATTGATTTACTCCTTTTATGTTTAGAATTGTAATTAAAGAGAAAGAATAAATATTTTATTATATTAGTTCAATATTCTACCTGTGAAAACTTGTAAATGAAATTCCGAAATTTGTGTGGGGATATACTGTTGAAAACAATTTTGTACATTTTACTCTTCTACTCACCCATTATTCTTTGAAATTTGCATTCTACGGATGGTCTATTTTGCGCTTTGATGATTGGTTGTACCAAAAACTATCTTTGGATCAATGTCAACACTACATACCCGAATAACCAAAGTTGTATGTATATCCTGAATAATTTGCATCCATTATGATACTTATATGATGCACAATTCTTGGTGCAAGATACTCTGGACCAAAAGTACTCGCTTATGTTCAATCGACTTAATACCTGGAAATGTAGAGTAAGTCCCATTCACATACGCAATTGAACAATTTTCGTGAAGATACTATTCAAAATGACACCACATAAAAGTACTTTATAGGACTTATTAGCACTATGAGGAAACAAATGCTTCTAATTTAGTAGTTCAAAAAACGACATTAACTTTGAGATGATATTGGAACATGAATAGGTAATTTTAAACTCTAACTCAAGCCTTGTATAGTTGATCCTGACCCTCATTGATTGATATAATGTGTACTTAACAATAATTTTACTGCAAACATCAAGTTCACTCTAATATGCAATTTACACTCACGACTGTAACACTGCTGCCTTCCGTAACCCATTACAAAAAGAATGTATGACTGCAAGTATTATCTTAAACTGTGAGGATTTTTGTGTTAAATTATTGAGTTCGAGTGAGAGAAAATTCGGTTATGGATAGAGACAATAGCAAACTGTCCCCAAAACATTTTAAGAACCACAGAATGCATGATACAAAGTCTGGAGTGTGTTCAAACCTAAGAGCCTACATTACTATGAGCAAACCTGTAGAGGTTATTAACATACCTTGTCAAGGTCTGATATGGAGGGTCTCATCATACTTTGATCAACAGAAACTAATACATTGTTGATTAGAAACACTGCAATCTTGCCAAAGTCTGAAGCTGGGAGATCCTGCTAGCCCTGTATCCTCCCAGTGCACCATACAACAGAAAACAACATGACAAATTCTTAAAAGGAATTGTGAGGGTATGCAACCCTAAGCTATATATATATATATATATATATTATAACTAATAATTATGTTATCTATCTAAGTCCATGAGAGGCTTGGTGAAACAGCTTAAATTCCAAAATTATGATGGGTGATCTTCGAGGCATTTCACCCTTGGCAGCTAAAGGCAACATGGTGGAGAACTGGAAGCTATGGAGGGCCATGTTTGAGAACTGTTTAAATGCATCCGAAGTTAACAAAAAAGACGCAAGTAGCGCAATTACTTCATTATATCGGAGATGAAGGATTCAGAATGTTCACGAGCTTCAAGTTCGAGGATGATAAACACAATCTGGAACCTGTAATAAATAAATTCGATGAGCATTTCCTGGGAAAAGGAAATTTGGTCTATGAACAATACAAATACAGATGAAATGGAAGTAATGGAACAATTAAAGCCCAATGGTTTATGGTTACCACATATAATTGTAGGTAAAATAGAATATTAGTCAGAAATGGGAAGCTCGTCAAAGTTCACCTTCACAAGAAATTCAAAATTACTCATTTTTTGTTGCCTCAAAGAGAGGATGAACAGATTAAATGTTTCTTAAAGTTAGAAGGTGATTATGGGGAAAGTGCAGAAAGACATAGTGATAGTCACCTACAGGATGGTGACAGTAGTAGTGATGAATATAATATGTCACCCGGTAGTCATAATTCGGATGATACTGTCAATGTTGATAATGACTTTGAGCTAGACTCAGACGAGGCCTTTGCATTAAAAAAATATATGTCATCTGGAATAAGTAAACCTGCGTTCACACATTTATAATTTGAGTTAGTAATAGCTATATTGTTAGTTATAAAATTTTATTTTATGGTATAAATAACAAAAATTAAATAAATATAATTTGATACGTGTATAAATCTTATTTAGGAGCATATGATGTTATTTTGTATAAATAGTTAACATTTGGATTTCACATAAAATTATACATGTAATAAAAACAAAAATATTCATTTTGATTGATACTACAGCCACACAGAACCAAAATTGGGGCTTACATAATAAAAGCAGGAGAAATATTATCGGGCCATCCTGCTCACAGATATTATAGTGGATGCAAGATAACAGTAACGTAAAAATGGGAAGCCCTTCCAAACACTTGCTAGACATGTTCAATAAATTTTAATTTCTACATCACATCTAAAGCATCAATGTTTTTATTTAAAGGGTTATATAATGTTGAACTATAACCATTGTTCATTTCAATGTGTATGCTCACAATATGTTTTCCAGGAATCATGACTAGACCCAACATTCTAGGTTCTTCATTTGCTGGCTTTCCATTGATACTGTGTGGTAGATATTCTGAGCATGAACCCAAAATAATATTGGCATCCCTATCAGTACAGAGAAACACTCCAATTAATACTCTACCATCAGTCATCTCAATACGAAATGACTTATTCAACCAAGTGCGTAACTTTACTGCACCAGGTGATGTCTGCAAGAAAAAATTTCTTAAATAATATTTCAATCTGATGACATCAACATATCTTACATTCAATGGTTTGTTGAGCCTCTCCACGGGTTCTGGATTATAATTGTATTCTGATACATCTTCAGATTCTGCCTGAGGTGTTTCCACTTCAGCGCTTGTACTGGGCGCTTCTTTCATGGCCATAGATTCGTGGTTGATATAAAAATATTATACACGTAACTAGTAAATGTTACTGAATAAGTTCCATTTTATCAAGAATTTCTATATTGATCCTTTTTGTTTACTTTCTAATTATAATTATATAACCTTTATTTAGCACTCATACCCCATAACCCCTTTCCAGAAACTACTTTGACTTTTGATTTTGATTGGTTTGACCACAGAACGGTTTAACACACAAGTTTTTGACAGCACAGCTCTACAAAAGTTACATGATACTCGGTGGACATGGATGAAACATCCACAACAACCACCACCACCACCACCACGGATCGTTAATAGAATTGGACTGCTGGTTTAGAAATGTGAACTGGAAGAGTCAGGGCCGTAATGCTGAAATCAGGTTGTCGCATCAAATATCGACGGGAAACGGCAATAGCATACAACCTCATGTAAAGAATATTATTTTTTATTGAATGTACCTGCGATACATTAATTTCATGACACATAATGGTAAAAGAGTCATGTGACAAACTTCAGTTCAGTAAATGTAAAATTGTGAATAAAACAAAAAGATTTAATCTAGTGGCAAATTTACATTTCGGATGCAAAGTGGGCTGTGACGATAATATAGGTATCCAAAATGAAGGGATGAGAATTCACTCATGAAAGCAATGTAGCGTCGCGAAGTCACGATGGATCAAACAGTCAGTAGTCTCCTTGTTTTTGCCGGAGAAATCGGCATGAAGCATTTTACTAAGGGTTAGCGGAAATTCCAGTGGCGGCATTAAGAGAATATTTAAGACATTGCGTCATTGCTTCTGCTTTTATGCATCACAAATAAATTTAACATTGCTTCTATATTCCCCTAGTTTCTAGAAAAAAAGACAAAAGTGCAATATTGTCTTGACTAGAGAAGGATTTTGAAGAATAATTCTGATTACCGGCCATTAGTTAAAAATAACATTATGACTTTTCTACAGGTATAAGTAATTCTAAGAAAATTTGCGATTTGCATAATGCTCAACAATATTATACAAAGTGGGACGCTTAAAAGACGTAAGGAACTACAAATCACCGGTATCCGTATACCTACCAGTAATCTTATCACTTGTTGCTTGACCTAGGAAAAGATAGATGTATGTAGATAATACCTGATGACATCCGGAAACAGATATTATTATAGAGAGATTTGTCCATTCTGCAAACATTAAGGGATCAGGATAATTAAGAGAGTTGTATCAATCCAGCGATTCGGTATACTACTGTAAGCTAAATCACATGTTATAGTATTGTTGACAATGCACGTGTATTGTTCGAGTAATTACAACATCATAGAGGATTGTAGATATTGAAGCTACAATATTGTGATCTCAAGTTCTTCAGATTTTCTAAGGACGAATCAAGTTCTAATAAAATGCATCATCCTGGCATTTTCTTCTATTTAACTGAACGGTGGCGATGAATAACCATGTTGCAACAGCTCCAAATTCTATTAAGACTTAATTGTAACTTCTAGAAAATAACGCCATAGTTAAGATTGCCCAGTCGGTTGATAGCGAGATAAACCATTTTCGCATCGGACTTTGGTCACACCACGATTAGACTAAGTAAAAGAGTTAAAGCCCAATTCCAAACTTTGACCAACAACGTCGGCCATTCCGAGATCCGGCTGGTCAGAAGTTTGACCACACATGGATATTCGACTACAATTTGTCTATAATATCATCAAATTAATAGTAAGAGCGCTAATAAAATGGGTTTTTCAAATTCGACACTCACCATTGAGATATTGGAAACTATAAGATATAGGAAGTCGTTTAAATGGGAGCAAAGTTGCGTATTAAGGTAATCAACAAACTGCGGCTTAGGAAGTTTCCAAATTTAAAATACTTCCGGAGAGAAAATTTTCTCAGAATCGTTTTAATGTTTTTCTGACTTTATTTGTAGTAGATTTTCAAAATAAATTGCACATTAACATTGCCACTTTTTTCCTCTACAAGAAAGCATAATTACAATTTGAGTACGACATTTCGTATTGGATTTTTGCGCAGATGAATAGAGTTTTTAATTCTGATTCGTAAAATTTAAATACGTCATACATTGACACTGCCAAAGTTTAGTTGTTTAAAAAAGCAGAATTTCCTAAGTAGGCATTGAAATTATCAGATTGTCATTCGTTTCGAATACCAGATTTATCCCAAAATCACTCTTATTTTTTCCTGGGTTGATTTGAGATGGAATTTCAAAGTAAATTCCATGTGGTCTCGGTTACTTATTCTCCTCTACAAGATGGCGCGGTCAAATCGTCAATTTGACATTTCTTCTTTCCATCAGCAACTTTGTTTTTTCATATGGAAGCTATATTGAAATTTTGTACATTTAACAGGAATTCAGTCGTAAATTCAGTGATGTATTTCATTAGCAGATGTTGACATGTTATTTTGAAGGCAAAGCCTGACTCTTCTCTGTACATTGCTCACTGCTCGTTTTATTTCTCCTCTTCTCAGTCTTCCAAACCCTGTTACTATATCCATTTTGAGGTCCGATCTGGTATACAAAATCTTATAATTTCAAAGCCTACCTAGAAACATCTGTTTTCCTGAAATAACTAAGGTTTGGCAATGTCAATATATCTACATTTTTGAAAACTCTATTTATCTAGACAAAAATCCAATATTGCGTCCATAGGAAAAAATAAAGTCTCACTACGGAAGTAATTTAGATTTCGAAACTTTCTAAGCGGCATTTTCTTGATTAACTACCTCAATACGCAATTTTGGCCCATATTTGAGCGACTTCGTTTCTCTTACAGTTTCCGAGATCTCAATGATGAGGGTCGAATGTGAAACACCCTGTATATTATATACATATATAAGCTTGAACTTTCATGTTTTGGTTTTAGTACGTCTATAGCAGCATTATTAAGGCATTTTTGTCAATATATTTCAGCTTCATCAAAAGCCCTGTATAGAGAAAGCATGTATAATTTCATAACATGTAGTATTTCTCAATTACAAAATTACTTGCAATAATTTATTGTTAATTGGTCACCCTATATTTAATGGCAGTTAAACGAATTCAGATTTCATCCGGCAACATGGCCATGGCTTTGGTGTTCCGTGAGAAGCGCGCGTGCGCGTTGCGATTGGAATGCGGCTGTTGCTTCTTTCAGTTCTTTCTTCCCGTTCCCGCCATTTGCCATTTCGGTTCCATTTGCTTGGGGAAGAGCCACGTGTAGGTAAGTGAATTTCAACTTTATATTGCAGCAATCTTTACATATTTCATTATAATTTTACTATTAATCGTGCTAGCTTTTCGCGCTCTATTCTCTGATATATCTTTAATTGTGATTGTAGCTGTCCTTTGCAGATTTTTGTACGCATAACCTAGCTTTGCACCCCCGCGGTAGGGGCTTGTGTTCTGTCTATCGTTGCATTGTTTTATACCGCTTGTGACTAGATCGAACACTCGCCTTTAACGTGGGGTTGTTCAACAGTTGCTTCTACTTATACGGCTTGAGCCTTTGTTCTCAAAGTTTGCAGAAAGAGGGTGGGGGCCCTTTTGTCTTGTATATTGTTCTTTGGTGATCTAGTTGTATGAGTATGTTCGACTTCATAAAGCTGGTTCAGCAAAGCACAATGTATTTGACTCTCCTTCGAGGGATCTTGCGAAGAGGATTTCAACTGCCGGAGCTTCTGTCCCATTTGAGGGTCACTGAGGGAATCTGGTTTGAAGGAACTCCTGGTGTGATATGTAGCTTTATATCATATCACAGCCAGTAGTTACCTACGAAATGGGTTCCTTTTGTCAACGCGAGACGCGACATTTAGTTTCTAAGTTTGAATTCTAACCTGAGGGTTAAGTAAACAAATAGTATATTTTGCAGGGTTCTAACAAAGGATCAGGGTTTTTGACTCAAATTTCAAGTTAATCGTATCGTAGTTTTGAATTTAAATATTCGAAACTTTTATCGTTCTCTTTTTTCTTTTTGTACCTATTTGATTGTTTTTAAAAGCCCAAAGTTCACAATTATGGACTTTTTTCTGCATTCACCCACTTTTGAATATGGAACTTGGTATTTTTATATCCATGAGTGCATGGTTATAACACTCTTTACTGTAAATCGATATAAAACTCACTAAGATACAAAACACCTATGTGTGTTGTTCCATTGCTGATGCATTAGAAACAAGTCGGAACAAATCTGAGCAGTTCCTTTTATATGTGTCTCAAGTGCGTTTTTATAGCTTTGAAGTACAAAGTATTATGATCTGTGCTGATATGAAAATAAACAATAAATATTCGAGAATTTGGGCTTTTAAAAATCAAGTACTAAAATAGATGTGGATATTGCTTGGAAATACAAAACTTGCCAAAATTAGGCTTTCAAAAATCAAGTACTAAAATAAAGGTGAGGATATCGAATGAAAATACATATGTTTAAAACATTTGCAGGGTCAAAAACCCTGCTTATATGTTCCTTTGATCACACTTGAGTATTTATACATTCCATTTTAATCACTTAAATAAGTTTTTCATTGAAATAATTTTTTTACGTTGTCTTAAAGTGTAAGTGTTGAGGTATTATAATCAAAGTTTCTGATTTTGTGAAATAGTTTTTTTTTTTTGTTTCTGGCTCATGTAAACTTATTTTAGTTAATAGTGCCTTATTTTCATAGTATTGTTTTGATTATTTAGTATAAACAAAGTATGGTCAAAAGTATTACACACAGTTTTTTTTACAATGAACTTTAAAATCAGTTTGTTGTTTGACAGTTTTTAGG